GCAAACTTTATAGTAAAGAATTCTGAACCATCTCCAATTTTAAATACTGGATCGCAATATGTAGATCCTTTTACAGGTGGAAGCCGATATGTTCCTGAATCAAGCACATCGTCTAATGCATCGTCTTGTGCACCCGATGTTAGTGCACAATCATCGACATTTAATTCTTCCAATACATCTGCGTCTCCCTCTTATATACCTCACTCGAAATATTTAAAGTTAGAACAAGCAAATTTATCTGTTATTCTCGGTAATTAAGATTTATTTAAGATTAATTAAGATTATAGATGTAATGGCAAAATGCAATATAATTTTTACTCTATATCACTTAAACATTTATAAAATTAATTACAGAAAAATTATATGAGTTGAATAATAAACAAGAAAATATATTAAAAATACCAGAGGAGAAGCTGAATGCGATAGAAAAATTTATGAATAATCAAGTGTCTGAAGAAATCATAGCTAGCGCTATCAGCGTACTAAAGAGTTCTCTAGATTGGCCCAACCACGTAGTGTTCCCAGCTCTCGATATAGCGAGGCTCGCTGTACTTCACAAAGAAGTAAACGATCAACTGTGTAGCGAAGAATTGTTATCGATCATACGAAGGCATATCAAATCCGATGCAGCTTTATCGAATCAAATGCTTACTTTTCGTCTGATAGCCAATATGTTCCAACATGAAAAGGGAGAGAAATTCTGTTTAGATCATAAGGATGAAATACTCACGTCTCTACTGGATCTACAGTCTCTTGGAAACAAAAATAATCAGGTATGTCACATCAATTATTAAAATAATAATTAAAAACAAAAGAAAGCCTAATGAAAATTTAAATCGCACAAATATTTATAATTTCTAATTATTATTAAAAAAATATTTATAAAATAATCGTAATTTCAATTTTCAATTTTATATTAATTATTTTAATATAAAGTGATATTTTTTTATATGAAAAACCGGAAACGGTGTAAGATTTGTAGATAGACGAGCTTACAGATTGTAATGTTACATTACAGGTTGCAATATCAACTTATATATTGAATTTGATCGTAGCGCTTAATAAATATAACGATGCACCTGGTAGAACGAGAGCTTTAAATGTATTATTTGCTATATTGCCTCGTTTAAATGAACCCGAAGCAATGTTCAGAGCTCTGGTTGGACTAGGAACATTATTAGCCGCTACTCCAGATCCCAGTGATCGTAATGAATTAATTAGCGCTGTGCGACAATCTGAAACTGCTTTAAATGTTCTTAGAACTCTATCAGAAAGCACTACTAACCTCAGTACGTCAAACAAAGTGGTAAACTGTTCTAAACAGATTATCGATTTGATTATCTAATGTATAATAAGCAGTGGGCCACGCTGCTTGTAAAATTATGAAAATAATCTCGATAATAATTAATCAAACAAGAAAAGAGATTGAAAATATTACAGTTATATATAATTAATTACGACAATGGTGAATATAAAATATTTTATGATGCACTAATAATTTCGGTAAATACGATTAAAAACCTAAAATGAGTTTGCACGTGTATTTATGTTTTGCAGCTCGGTTGCTCACAATTGTAAAAATAAATACATTTTTGTACAATTTATATTCATCATTTAAATGTACTATATATGCCCTTCCATATTACAAAACATAAAAAAAATATAAATTTATATAATTAATGGATTACAACAGTTACATTATATCTTACATTTACAAAAAGTACAAAAATTTTAGATTTTGTGCCCAAAAATAGTAAGCAGTATCTTTAAATATATTTTCAATGCAACTACGGCAATTTATTAGTTGAACTCATGCAATTAAAATTTTAATATCTTAACAATTTATTTATTTATGCTCAATTATTCATTACAACTGACCAAGATAAAGTTATTCGACATACATATTGACTGTTCGGGACTAAGATAAAATGATATGTATTTAGGGCTTTTACGTATTTTTTAATTTCATTTTGTCGTAAAGCATATATACATAAATATTCCTTATTAAACGAACATGTTTTCAAGAGATACATAATACATATTTTATAATATACATCGATAATACAAAATTCGAAGGAATAGATTCTCCAGATTTTATTATCGATTTTACACCAGAAGTACGTAAATGAATTGAAGTGTTTGCAATATAGGAAAAAAATTAAAACGACTGTTACATGTTCAGATAATAGAAACTGAATGAATTATTACTATTGCCATGGCAGATATAATATCCCAACGTATAAATGTATACAACGCATATATAGGTATAGTTTTATAGAAATTAATGTGAACAAGAAATAGTTTTTAGATTTATGTACATAAGTTATTATAAAAAAGGATTTATAATAT